TACCAAAACCTTGCCACGCAAACCCAGTATATCACTCTTCTGTAACTAATCCCAAAGTTTAAAAAAGACCACATGCAAACTGTGCTTCCACTCCCAAGGACATGTGGGGTACAAAAACACACCTCCTTCTGGAAGTGTGGGCCCCCTGCTTGTATGCACTGCCTGTGCGAGATGTGGGTGCTCCTGCTCCATGTGAACACCCTGATTAACATGCCAATTAGAAAAGCGTGCCACGAGTTCACGTGTGTGCAGCTGATGGGGATGAGATCTTGCTCCCGACGTATGGCATACCGCACTGACAGTGCCCTAGCTGGATGCAGGCTACTCGGTGTCTATCAGGGAGGATGCGCTGTCTTGGCCGAGACAGAGGTCATGATGCTGGTGGGGCAACTTCTGGCAGTGTCAAATGAGGTTTTGATGACTAGTATTTTGCTCCAAGGTGTCTCCCAGACTTGTTACAAAGTTTTCTAGTGCTTTTGCACTTTCTAGGCTAACAGATTCTTTGTCTCAAAAGTCTCTTTGAAATTCTGTGGTTACTGTTTAGTCTGGCCCATGTTGCTTTCCTCTTTGAGGTGGTCTCTTTTGGGCAAATGTGCTCAGATAGTTTTGTGTACTACACATGCACGTGCCTGCACCCTATGTAGCCCCATGTTCTCACCTTAATGGGCACGGGGAGGGGGCTGTGCTGGTACTGTGCACTGAGGACCTCATAAGATAAAACTTACCACATCTGTTTGACTGGAATAAACTAAAGTAGCAAAATAGCTTTTGATCTTTCCCTGTTCAGATCCTGTCTTTTTGCTTTCTGCTCTTTAATGTTGTATCGTTTGTTCTCGGCAATCTTTTGTATATGCAGAAGTTGTAGTACGGTATTTACATTAGTAGTGAATGTTTTTGCCCTCTGTATTATTAGCGTGTTGTCTTCTTTGAATAATAGATGTGCATTCTCTTCTGTTTCTCTGTAACTTGCCATGTGTTTATAAAACCTTTTTACATACTGGTGTCTATGGTCTTTTTTAGTTAAAATTCATTTTTGTATGTTAGCCTTAGATTTGTGTTCATGCATGCTTGTGCTGTTTATTTTTGCTTCATGTTAGTGTGCATCTGTTTCCATATTTCCTATTGCTTTTTGGTTTTCAGATCATTAAAGACATTAAAGAACTCTTGATGAAGCCGTATCAGGACCTTACCATGTTTGCTATCATTCTTCCACATCATGATGGTTTGTCATTGTGTCATTTAATGTTGTCTTCTAGAGTCTGCCTTTTTCGGATTCCTTTTTCCCTTTTTCCTTCTAGAATTCCTTACTGTAGGACCTTGCCTAATAATTCGGAGTCTCCAGTTTTAAATAAGGGTTCAGCACTGTCCTTATTTGATATTCCTTATGTCTCCTCATTTGACATCCTGAGAGTCATTAATTATAATTTCAGCGTCATGCTCACCTAATTGCCCTACACAGACATGTTTCCAGCTGTCGTCTCTATTATTCAAAATTGAAGGTAGTCGTTACTTTCCCCCTTCTCCTGTAAGCTGCTTTCATTTTATGAAAAATAATTATCTCATTCATCATGAGAGTTTGTGGGGTAGTTTGTGCCTTCCAGTGTAGCTTTTCAAACACATTCTTGAGTGGCTCAAGATCCCTTATTAACACCAACACCCGTCTTTGGATGCTTGTGTATCGCTTCATTATAAGTAAGTACCATATGTGGTGGCACTGAGCATAGGTTAGCTCTGAGGGGTTAAATCGGGAGCTGTGAATAGCTTTAAGTATTTTCTGTAAGTGATAATAGAGCGGCAACATTATTAAATAATAGTAAACTGCAGTTGCATTGCAAATGATGCGTTGGAGGTGAAACTGCTGAAAGTATAAATGATAACTGGGAAGATTGTTGGTGATTTGTCTCACGTTTTTTATCCTGAATTGTCTTTGACTTGCTAGAGTCTGCTATGAGCGAGCCACCTTCAGCCCAACGATCCAAACCTTCATCCTTTCTGCCATCTGGCATGGGGTTTACCCTGGATATTATTTAACGTTTTTAACAGGAGTACTAATGACATTAGCAGCACGAGCTGTAAGTACCAACCAAGTATCTTCTTAATAACAATAAGTTTTGTAAAAGAAAATTGATCACGTTCTGTAGTCCAAAGATGCGCTTTACACAGTCTGTCTGATCGTGGTGTTTGCTTTTTTAGTTATGAGAGCAGTGGGAATGATTAATTGTAAGAAAGGGTCGATCAGTGGAAACAAGCAAGACTGTACGTGGCCTATAACATCTTTGTGGCATATCTTTCTTGTGGAAGCTCTTCGTCTGTATCAACTGATCTTTTATTACTATGCCATGCTGAACAGGATGATGTTATCTAAAAGAATTTTGAAAAAACTTTCTGATGATGAAAAAATCACTGATGATGAGTAGCTAAAAATTTGGGAGTCAATGCTATGTATTTATAGAGTCCATCACCTCCCTAATTTCTGTCCAGTACTATTGTAAAGATGGTAACTAAAGAATGCTCTCCCTCAAGCAGGAGATAAAAGTCTCTTGTGCAATTGCTATTCAAAACTGGCCAACCCGCAGTGCAGTTGCATTAACAAGCTTTTGCAGCTGCTACTCAGAACCATATGGAACCAGCAAACCTGCCAAGAAATCCCTCACAGTTCTGCTTGAGAAAGCTGCGTAAGAACAGAGGCAGGTTTATCTGTTACTCAGTGGGAAAGAGGAACAAACAAATAGATGTCAGCTCAGAGCAGCATAACAGACCACTTTTCTGTTGAAAGAACCAGGAGAATGAGAAATGAAGCAGACCCCTCTTTGTTGCTGTAATAGCTAGGGGAAGGTGCTACTTCAGATTTAGATTGCTACTAACAGTAATAGCACAGATGCTCCTCCTCTTTCTTCACAAAGATGTGGGTATAGTCCTTGTTGGACAGAAATGACTCCTTTCTTTACAATAGGTGTAGCTCCCTTCTCCTTTCCAGGCTATTACAGTGAACTTTTGACATTTATCAGCCAGGGGCTGGTGCAAAGGCCAAGGTTCGGGGACGGTTCATGGGTAAAAGTTATTGTGTTCTCTCAGTAAGGTGAGTCCAGTAAATCAGAGTGCTCACTGCACTTCATCCTGGGCTTCGCTAGTAAGCTGTGTTGTATTCACATTTCATATGTTTCAAAAATAGGCTATTAAATAAAAATATTTTTAGTTTCTTTTTAACAGGTACTTAACTGATAAGATATGTTAGAGGTACTTCAGCATGTTTTATTATTTAACTCTGCTATCCTTCAACTGCAAAGTTTGGCAGCTCTGATCCACACTTTCTTCTGTCATGCCTAAGCATGTATGCAACTAGTTTTACTCTCTTTAATCATTACACATTTCATAGTCAGGTGTTTATTAGGGGCAATTATAGATTTATCTTAAAAGTTGTCCTTCAAGTCCTAAACCACCAGATTTCTCTACAAGAAATTCTGTGAAACTTCATCCAAGTTTTAGAGAACTCAGGAACAAGTCACTGCATGTGAGCATAGGAGGAAACTGGGGGAAGATGTCAGGATGAAGGTTATGTGGTTAGAATTACTTGTTTTACTTAGCTTAACTAAACAAAGGCTGACTGGGAATGTGATATCTACAGGGTAATTTCTGTAAGAAGGACAAGAAAGGTAAAAACGTTTTTTTTATGTTAAGAATGAAATCAGCAGGAGCAAGCCTTGGACATATTCTGTAGAACCAGGAGTTCTAAAGCTAAACTGTGGACTTTGGTGTGCAGCTTGTCAGGGAGGACTGCCTCAGTGCAGATGACTGGAAGGTGGCAACTGTGATACCAAGCTACACAAAGGCTGAATGGAGCCCATCTTGGCTTGTCGGCACATAGGAGTGTGAGCAAGGATGACAGTTCAGTCAAAGGAAGGAGGAGCAAAGATCTACTTGTGTCTTTTTAATTAAAGACTTACAAAAAATTGAACCCAAACCTATGTGGGTTTTGGATTTTTTAAAATACCTTTGGTATTCCATTGTTTGAACAGAATTTTACAAAAAAGACTCAGCATAGAAAATTGAATCATTTTATAATAGTCCCACTTGATATTAGTTGTTATTAAGACTCCGGAAATATGTCAGTAGAACTGATATTTTGTATATTCTGATTTATATCCTACTTGTCCTAAATTATATCTTATTAGCATGTATATGAAAATGTCTTACCATGAGAAGGTTTCAACACAATCATTCTGGCTTTCATTTACTGCAACACTCTATTTACAGAATGGCTTGATAGAATAGAATGTCTGCCGCATTCAGACAATCAGTCAAAAGTTGCATTGGATTTAGGGTGGGGTTTGTTTACATAATTCTGCTTAAACGCATAAATACCTAAATTCCTGTGCTGGATGAAGCACACTATCCTAAAAGGCAGGGAATTTGAACTGGCTCCTATTGAAGTTGATGGGCATTTTGAATAGTTCAAAGACTCTTGACCAAACTGTAGCATTTAAATTCATTCTTTGGATTTTGTGGAAGTGCAACAAACTCTGTGCAGTAAGATAGCTCTCAAAGTTTATTCTTAAGCTAACTTGCTATTATCTGCTTTTTCAGATACGAAACAATATCAGACACTATTTTGTTGAATCTCCTGCTGTTAAACTATGTTATGATATTATAACATGGATGGCAACTCAAGTAGCAATAAGTTACACAGTCGTGCCATTTGTACTGCTCTCTGTAAAACCCTCTTTCACCTTTTACAGGTAAGCACATTCTTACCTGTTTCCTTTTTCTTTTCTTTAACTGGGAATAGAAGCATTTTCTGTGGCATAAGATTCCTGAAGTTACTTTAGTGGTAATTATAAGATTAATTTGTTAGCTGAGCAAACCGTGTTTCTGTTCTAGTGCTTGAATGTAGTTTGTGTTGTATATGAGAAACCATAAAGTGCTCTCATTTTCCTATCATAATAGATAATAGACTTATTTTTCCTGGGGCAGGGAAAAAAACAAAACCAGAGGGTACCTTTGAGATTACTATATGCACTTGAACTATTCTATAGCAAGACTAGATAATGACTTCCCAAAAGTAACTTGTGAAAAAAAGTTGAAAGCAGACTTGTGTTCGCTCTACATCTCTGTTACAGCACTCAGTACTGTGAGGGAAGACTTAATTTCTGATTTCCCCCTTATTACTTAAAGGAAATATTAATGTTTTCCTGTCTTATGTGCAAAGTAGGTTTTGACAGTTTGTTGCTTAAGCATCCTATAAGAATGGTCAGAGTTTTATTGAATTATTATTTTTGTTTGTTTTTTAGCTCCTGCTATTTCTGTCTTCATATTGCCAGCATCCTGGTGTTGTTGGTATTTCCATTGAAAAGAACTCAAAAAGGAAGTAAAAAGCATGCAAGCGTCCAGCTGGCGTGGTCCAAAAAACTAGAAGAAGAAAATCTTTTGCAAAAGAACAGTTATTCCACAACAAATAATAGTTTCAGTCAGAAGCAAGAAATAACCTGCAGATATCAAGCATTAAAACAGTGATTGAGGAAATACTATGATGAATATATTTTGTATGTTTTCAGAAACCCATTTTTAGCACCTTTTAAAGGGGTTTGTATTTGTTTGCAAAGATGTTTAGTAAGAAAAGAATGCATTACCTAGGAAAATCACATACAATAGCAAGACTGGAAACAAAACAAATTAACCCCTCCCATGCCATGTCCCTGTGGGTCACGCCTTATATGAAGCTATTACCATTATTTCAATGGGCACTCAGGACTTGCAACGTATGTCCATAGGGTCATATGTGTGCCCTTTGCTGAATGTACGTTGTGTATCCCAAGGTACTGATGGGGTGGAATAAAATTATGTCAACCTAGGATTAACAAATGGAAATTAATTTTTCCAAATGAATGACTTGCCTTAAACCCTCTATTTACTGAAATATTGTTTCTAAGTGGATATCTTCAAGTTTGATTTTACGTGGAAAGCATATTTCAAATACATAATACTATATGCTATAAAGAAGATAAAAACAGGAAATGCAAAGGCTTTAGAAGGCTTTTGAATCTTTAAAAGGGAATTGCAATAAGCATCTCAGTATTTGGAGGGTTTTCTTAAAGTATCTCAAACTATTACAGTACATTACAGAACTGTAAACAATACTGATGCCAAATTATAGCTAGGTTTCTTTGATAAAGAGTATAATTACACATAGCCCTTCTGAATGGATTAAAAAAAAACCCAAACACCTGAAGGTTCACCTTTTCCAGGGCTTGGTAGCTCTAATCTAGGTTTCTTTTACTTTAAAGTACCTAAAAACAATAGAATACTGCCACGTGGGCTTTGCAGCTAGAGAAGGAAAGGCAGCCATAGGATGCAGAAGACTATGTGCAAGCACCAGGATTTCAATAAAAGTGCGTTTTTACCCTTAAATACCAGAAATACTTGTTCTAGAATAGAACTGTTTTACAAAAAATATTTTTTAATATTTAAAGTTGTTTTCAATTTTCAGGCATACAGTAGTTAGTTGATACTTCCAGTATAAAATAGTAAAATTACCTTGAGCTCTACTGCGCAGGTAGTCAAACATGAAATTACTATCATAACCAATTTCTGTATGCCTGGTAATTGATGGCACTTCATCCAAAGAAGTACATGAATTTGAGGAAACGCTTTTTCTTTAAATTAGAATTCTAGATGCAAAGTTCACGTTGTATTTGTGGGTAACATAATGAAAGAAAGAAATCTTTCAGAACATCTGACTTGCTGAATTGTGGAAGCGTGTCAAGAGAATAATGCAGTGGTTATATCTATTCCAGACCATTTGTTGTGATGATGGTCCCTGCTAGAGTACTACTGTTAAAGGGCTACACTTTAATTGCTTATATTCTGTATTTTCATATAATTTTTTTAAGTAAACACAAACTGTTTATCCACATGGGGTTTTTTTAGCTTTAAAACTGACACAAAATACTACCGGAGAAAAATAATGCAACTTGTTGATTGATAACCTACAAACGAATGAGAAAAATTTTGTCATAATATTATGAACCCTAAATTTTTCATCAAGTGTCTGGCATTAGTGCGGTGAACATGCTTAATACCAGAACTGCAGTGATGGTCCTCACCTTTGGGCATACTATCATGCAAAAATAGTCACAGTACTTCTGGCTTATTCTCTAAAGAACCAGATCCTAAGTCAGGTCAGAGTTGTTTCCTTGCTGTGATAGTCTGTGTCTGGCCTTCGGCTCCTTGCCTAAAGCTCCAGGAGGGTAACGTACCTTTTCCATATACGTAGGTTAGCACTAATTAACCAACACAGTTAGAAAGGGGGAACTAAATATGAGATGAGAGTGGATGAGCCTACCTAGATGAGCAGCAATGTTCATTGTGTCAGTGACAGCTGTGTTATCTTTAAGATAAAATAATCTGACTTCTAAATCCTCACTTTGATTACCCAAGGAGACCTTCCGTTACATGGGTTGGTGGTTGTCATATGCCTCTTTGAAATGGCATTATGTTTTTTTCTGTGGTTTATAAGTAAGGGCACACTAGTTTCTTAATGTTTGATTATCCTTATCAGATACAGAATCCGGAAAGACATTTTTCCACTTTCTGTTCTTGAAGGGACATTTACATAAAATAACAAATTAGAATTGCCCATTCCCGGGTGGCTGAGTAGAATTAGGGTTCATTCTTTCAGCATTTGTTCCTGTTGAACTTAAATTCACCTTGTTGGTGCAGTCTACATATCTACCCAAACAAGCACTTTTGGATGCCAGTACAACATCTAATGTGCCATTTTTCCCATAAATGTTCTGGTACTGTTGCTTTCTTGTTTTGGCATGTGCGGCCATATGTGCGATGGAGGCTTACTAGTTCTTCATTATGATATATGAAAACAGTTGTTGTAAGCACTCCCAGAAAATGAGCAGGTTTAGGATAGGAAAGACTGGTGCTCAGTGTGAGTGAGCTCACAGGTACAGTTTTGTTCAGAACTTTTGTATATGGAGAAGTTAAAACAGTGAAGAAAATAATGTAGATGCTTTAGTCAGGCACAAGTGGCAAGATAGGGGTTTCAAAATTGGACGTGACTGGTGTCTGCGTGCAATACAATTACTTTTTTCTTCATGGTTTGAACAAATAATTGCAGCACAAGAAAATTATGACAATTAATTAGTTCTGCACAGTATTTATTTTTAAGTGTGATGTCCTAGAATTTACCCTTTTATATTCAGCAATGACATTTAAAGTACTTTGAACCAAAATCTGCCTTTCATGCAAATTACTTCTTTTGGGGGCTATGGAAAGAGGTTTTTTTGTTTTAATGGCAGCACTCTGATTTTAGTAAAACTAAAATTTTTTGTTGTTCTTGTTTCTGTCCTTCTGCTTTACCATTTTTCTGCCTTGCTATCGCACTGGATCCTTTTAATCAATTCAGTCAGAAAGCCAAGAGCAGTCAGCCCCGATACTTTAGTTAATTTTTATGTTTTACACACATCATTTTATAATAGAGAATTTGAAAGGATGGCAGTGATTTACTATTGCTCTTGCTGAGAAAAATACTAGAAGGTAAATTTCCTAGAAATGTTTGGGGCATGAAGGAAACATGTTTTTAAGTATTCTTTCACTTACTAACTAACATATATCGAAAAGGTAAAAGTGTTTTCTCTATTGCAGATCAGTCCACTATGAAAAAAGTAAATACATCATATCATTCATAATTTTATGGTGCTTTGCAGATAATTGCCTATTGTGAACAATTCATTCAGGCACTTAATGAGTTAACGTTAGTTAGTAAATGTAGTCACCCCGATAGTAAATGTTTGCTTGCTTAACCTTTTTTAACCTTTATGATTCTGTATTAATGAAAGAGAGATATATATTTAAATAATACTTTCAGTGGTGCCTACTACTGTTGTAATCAAGAAGGCTTTGTTAGCATTGCAGTTACAGATATACCCTTCTTATTCAGGAAGCTTATTCTTCCATGGCCATTCCTTAAGTTGACATGTAGACAAGGTTTCGGTAATAGGTGATATTTTAAAGTATATTACCAAGTAAAAATATTGGTATGCATTTCAATATGCTCTTGATAACAAAACTTACTTTAGTGAGAAGACTTTATGAAGAGATCTTTGTATATTCCCTGCTCTATGCTGACTTGTAGTATGAGTTTTATGAGTACAGTATATTATTTATTAGAAGAATTTTACACTTAAGTAACTTGTTCTGTTTCCCCTATGGCAATAAGTAATATGACTACAAATGCTATGCTTGTATGACAGGATGTGCACTAGGTAGTTGAGCCTCTTTTGATGGCATTGATTTGGTATGTGGTAAAACCTCCTCTGATGCAGAGGAGACCTTTATGAGATCCTCACCTCCTGTCAAGTTCATATCAAAAGTAATTTTAATAGAGTCTGGATTTTTCTCTCAGGAGCTTTGCAAACAAATTGTTGACAATTTGTTTAAATACATGGTCAAATGTGTCCTCACATTTGCCTGCAAATGTGTCACTGTTGCTTACATGTAAACTTTCACATGCTCAACTTTATAAGTTGGCCTTGAATGACAAAGAAATTTAAAAGCACAAGTTACAATAATTTAGGCTTTCTTTTCCCTTATCCTTAAGTCTTTCACTTTGTAATTCTCACTGAATTCTGAAATCAGGTCTGAGAATTTTCTGATTTCAATGAAAATTTAGAAATATTGCCATTTATGCTGAAAAGTGATAAGTGTTTGAAAAACAGTTGGAAATAAGTTTAAGGATTTCAATATGATGCAGACTTTACGTATTAAAAATACACATTGGTTCTGTGCTGATTCATCACAGCATTTCACTTATATATTTATTTAGGTCCAGTAATACTCTGAACAGCATATGGGAGTATTTTTAAAATTCCTGTTAAAAAAAATCAATTGGCTATAAGTACTTAAACAAGTATTTAAATGCTATGCTGAATAAGCATCTAAGCAGGTACTGAGTGAATTGAGCCCACTCTCACTGGATTACTAGGTGTGTCTGGATCTAAGCTAGTTTGCACTGCCAGTCTTGGTCTTCTTCATAGTCACGGTGGAATAGCTGGCTGTGAAGAAGTCTCTGGTAAGAACACATCGTGTCAGTGGCCAGGAGGGTTTACTGCAGAGTTCCTGGGGGTAGCTAACCCTACATGCAGAGCTTGACAGAGGATCTACTTGCTTGTGACCCACGCTGCAGCTGCTCTATGCTACATCCACCTGGATTTTTTGTATGTTTGCTGTCTTAACCTAGACATTTTGCAAACGCCATGAAATCCAGGTATCCACAAAGTCACCCTGCAAGGTTACAACTGGAAATATTGCAACAGTTGCTTATTATGGTCAAAACCGAATGAAAGAAAAATTTAATTTCTTAAAAACTTGTTTTGATACGCTTTTTGTATGTTGTTGTTGGTTTTTTTTACAAAACCTAGCCATCAACTGTATCAATTTTCATCCTGTTAAATATTTAAAACATAATTCTGCTCACTTTAGGTATGCAAGTGTGCAAAAGTAAATATTGCCACTTTGTCATCTTCTCTGCATTAGCTGTGTGTCCAGTGACTTGGGCCTGGTTTTGGTTTTCAACGTTTTTAGATTTTCTGAATCCATCTGCATATCCTTTATAAACATGGTATAAACTTTATGAATTGGCAAATAGTAGTTACATATAGTGTGCATATATATACTTAAAGTGGGCCATATCAGTATTTACATGAGGCTATTGTTGAGCCCTCCACTTGTACACTACATCTGCTGAAGGCTGTTGGGCTCCACTCTGAGTACTAAGCTTTCTGCTTCCTAAAGTGAAAATAGAATCTGGTTACACTTCTAAGTGGAAAGCAAAGGGCTTCTTTCAGTCTGTTGCAAAACCTGCCCTTACAGGATATTCTGCTGCAGGCTATGAATCCAAAATTTGACTTCAGATATATGACTGAAATCTGAGTTAGGGCCACTTTTGGAGGAAGCTTGTTATATCAATTGTGACTCAGTCCAGCACCTTACTCCAAACGAACCTCTTGGTAAGAGAGACCTCTGCACAGTCTTCTTCCTTTTGTTCTCTGAGGCAGAAATACCCCAAGTTGGATTTTCATTTAGGTTTCACTACAATATCTCATATGAACAGACAGCTGCTGTCCATGCTGTAGTTGGATTAGGCTTCCAAACTCTGACCACGTAATCTGAAACGAAAAATAGAGAAACAGGGTGCCTAGAGACTGGTAATCAGAATAGTGCAACACTACGTATTAAAGGTGCAACAATCTTTTGTCACAGTAAGTTAAGGAGTATTTGCCTATGCATATTTTGCCTTTCTATGTTTATCAGTTCTCTTTACATCTTTTCTTTGTACCTTCCTTGGTCCAGTGGTGTTGACTATTTCTATGAAGAATCTTCTGATGTGTCTTACTGTAACAAAGGTGTCAAAATGATACAATAGTAATTAGGTAG